TAGTATCATTGGCTTTGAACAGGCTAAGCCACATAGTTGGCAATCTTTCAATCGCTTTGGCTCTTTTACCTAGGGAACTCACTAAAGGACATTGCTTTACATATGAGAAAAAAAGGAAAATTTGATACCTAAAAATGGTGTCTGGATGGAAAGAATTAGGCTGTGAAATGGATTCCCCTGCATTCCCTCCCAGAAAATAGCAGGCTAGTAATGATGAGGTGTATGGTAGAATAATTATAGGAAGCAAATGGACTATAGGACACTTCCCAGAGGCTATTATCACAGAGAAGCATTTAGATGAAAGGAATAATATTTCTTAGACCTAAAGAACTGGTAATGGCTAATAAAGGGAAGATGAGAGGCCTTGATGGCTGTCACAGTATAATCACTTATATTTAATTTACAATACAGGAATTCAGAAATGTACCATCTATCCTAGAGTCATACCTCCAATGTGTTTAATATTGGAAACTTTGAGTCTCCATCTGGACCCTGGTTGTTATATTGTTATTCTTCTAGATAAAGATAAAGAGAGAAGGAAGGAAAAGCCCATGTTCTTTCTTTACTTTCTTCCTCATTCTCTGCCTTCATCTTCCCTCCTTTTCTCCATCTTCCTTCCTTCTTTCCTATTCCTCACTTCCTTCAAGTCTCAGCTAACATCCCATCTCTTGGAAGAAGCCTTTCCCGATCCTCAATGCCAGTGCCTTCCCTCTGTTGATTATCTCCAATACATGTTTATACATAGCTGTTTGTATGTTGTCTCTACCCTTAGACTATGAACTCCTCAAGGGCAGGGCTTGGCTTTGGACTTCATTGTATCTCCAGTGTTTAGAACAGTATCTAGCACCTAGCTGTTGTTGTTATTTTTCCTTCATTTTTTGAAGAGGACCAATGACATCATGGGGTGATGTATTGGCTTGTTCTTGAACTGAAGTGAAGCAGAGTTGCACAAAGTCATCAGCCTCACTTTCTCTTCCAGAGTCATTGAAGTCCAGTGGCATGACAAAAGTTCATTTGATTGGCAATAGCCTGGAATGTAGTGGATGACCTTGGCATCTTTGATATCTGACCAAGCTCTAAGCACTCTATAAGAGCAGATTCAGCCACCTTCATGGCCATTGGAACAAATTGTGCTCATCTACCCATTCCACCATGGGAAGCCTTCATATGCTTGGTGTAGACATGCCCTTAACTAACCAAGAAGTTTGAGGCCCATTGGTTATGCTGAACATGGTTTAGCCCATATGTCAAAACAGTTTCCTGGGGTGTGGGCACTGACCATGCTACAGTTTCCTGAAGCCAGAGCTGAGAATTGAGTGGCAGGTGGACATCAGAGGTGGATAAGGATAGGTATCTACTCCCTCTATGGTGAGGCCTGTCAGTTACCCTTAACCTGGTTAGCATATAGTAGATGATTAATAAATAATTGTTGACTGACTGGTCTACAAATGACTTTTTGACTTTTTATTACTACCAAAAGACTTTCCTCTGGAATTACAAAAATATAACTCATCCACCATAGCAAATGTAAAGGAGCCTTCATCTTACATACAAAGACTCAATCCAAATGATACATAGAATAGAAAGATAACAAAAGCAAAATAAAACAAGCTACGTGACAAGTCATCAAAACAGAGAAGCCTCATATTTGAACTCATAAACAGTGAAGACAATTTTGTTCCTTCGATCAGCCTCAGGATCAATGTTCTCATGGAAGAGGAATGAAGCTGATAAATTGATAATAATAATAATAATAATAATAATAATAACAATCCATTCAAAATCACCTGAAGGCTCCATAACATTTATAATGCCTTTATTCATTATTACAGAGTGCTTGACTCAGTTCTGTAGTCATAACCCATTCATATACTAGAAATACATAAAACCAATGCAAGTATAGTAAGAATGTTAGATCATTAGCCAAATGTCCCAAAGTTGGAAAGCAAAACTCATTAATGAAACAGTAATTACTGAACAAAATACTAGAGGGTGCAATAGTATATTACTTTTTATTGACTACAGCAAAAAATGTTTGTCTTCTTTCTATATTTATTTCTACTTAATGTATTGTAGATACATAAAATATAACCAAATTAACCTAAAACACGAGATAATTTCATATCTAAATGAAAACCTTTTTTTAAAAAATTGACAATATTCCATTCAGACAATAATTTGAAGAAAAACTGTGAAATCTTACATCTCCTAAGTACAATGACGGGTGGTTGGTTTCCAAGGCAAAGTTATTTGATATGCATATACCACACTTCTGCATGTCAAAACTCTCTGAAATAATATAAACATTATTTAAACATGACAAGTATAAAATTATTAATGTATACAAAGGGAAATATAGTTGAATGCTTTGGTTTTCAATACATCAAAACCAATTAGTGCATGAAGGTAACATTTAAAATCTTATTGTTTTCCATTTAAGACACAAACTTATGTAGCTATACAAGAGAAAGGTATACTTGTATATGAAAAGAGACTTGCTAACATCCCGAAGTTAAAGCTCTGTAGAAAGGACATACGCAGGGCAATATTGATCACATTTAACATGCATTTGAACAAGAGTAAAATGGACAATAACATGTTTAGAAAGTATAAAAATGCATGCAATACTAATAAAAATACAGGCCCCATCACTCAAAGGAAGCTAAAGAAAAGTGAATATTTCCTCATTAATAAAGGAAGAAAGGAACTGCCAGACATTGTCGGAACACATGATCACAGATCGAAATCTTACAGAAATACTTTTGAAATAAGAAGAGATCGGGGCAGCTAGGTGGCGCAGTGGATAGAGCATCGGCCCTGAAGTCAGGAGTACCTGAGTTCAAATCCGGCCTCAGACCAAACACTTGGCACTTACTAGCTGTGTGACCCTGGGCAAGTCACTTAACCCCAATTGCCTTAAAAAAAAGAAAAAGAAAAAAAGAAATAAGCAGAGATTGCTTCATGGAGCAGCAGAATGTTAATAATAGATCAAAACCACTGGACCTACCTATTATAAATAAGTTATATTGATTTATTTCCTGAAAGAGCCTACAATATACCTATGCTCCTAAAGTAGTGGGCAATAGCCATATGGACTCATCAAAAAAAAATTTTAAATATAAAAGTGTAAGGGTGAGTGTAGATTAAGTAAATGAGTCATCATCCTACTCCATTTAAAGTAAGTACTAACCAAGTCAACCAAGTGTGAATCAATCAGTTCACCACAGAATTTAGAATAAAGGGCAGAATTTCTTGGTGAATTGGAGTGCTGTTGCACAGAAAGTGTTAGTGTGCTCAGAGTGATTGGGAAAGCTTTTGGAGTGCCCTGGAGCATTTCTGGGAAGCTAGGGAGCTAGTTCAAAACCTGAGAGATTTGAGCAAGTTCAGGGAAGAGGATATTCTCCCTAAAGTGCTGAGAAGGAATCAATTGTGAAGGGAGGGCAGGAGAAGCCAAGCCCCAGGTCTGCTCTAAATATCTTCTCCTCATTAACTTGTGGAGGACCTTGTGAAATGGAGGGGTCCTGCATAATTCCCAGTCACCCATCACCATCCTAGTAGCCTCCCCAGATCAGCTGATAGATAGTAGTGTTTGTAGCAGGGACAAAGGGCATATTAGACAGCAATTCTATGTTCTGTAAGTAGATCAGGAGAAAGCTTGCCCATATACCAGAGGAGTATGTTGAGGACTTGGGCCAAAGGACTCTGAGGAGCTCAGAGTTACCTCAGTTGTAACCACTCTTAATTTAATGCTAAATTTGAGGTCACTTTCACTTGAACATTTTGTGAAAGAGTGGGTCAAATTTTGGGGCAAGGGATGTTTTCTACCAACTTATTACTTTGCCACCTTAGTAAATAACCCTTTCTAAAAGCTAAAAGATACATCTGTGTCAAGTAGACTTGTTTAGAGAATTGCAGGAGTTTGTGATACAAAATCACTGCCATCAGAAATTACAAGAAAGGTCAGCCTCAAATCTCCTTTACTCATCGATTGAATCAAATTGTCCAAGGAAATGGTAGAAACCATGCAACAGCTCCTGATATGCACACAGACACGTTTGCACCTATGCAATAGTATATAGATATGTGAATATGGATATGTAACACATGGATCTAAATATGATACCTAGCATAGGTTAGATCGCAAACTTATACGTGCAAACCTCATAATCTCCCAACTACATGGAATGAAAAAGATTTCTTACCATAAAGACCAAGCAGAATAAATCAAAGACACACTGTGCCAAGATGCACCTTCACATCATCCCCATTGTTGTCAGCTGTTGAAGTTGTCCTGATGACGCTTTTACTGAGCCTATAGATGGAGATAAGGGCTAGGGGCTAGAGGATAGGTCTGTTATTTTACTGGTATAGAGAAGTCCCAGGTGAGGAAAGTCCCTTCACCAGTGCTGCTCATTTTTTTTCTCTGCAATTTATAGTCTTAGAGAGCTACTTAAAGCTCTCATTGTTGAAATGACTTGCCCAAGGTCATACAGCCATCATTATGTCAGAGGCAGAAGTTGGGCTTAGGTCTTACTGGTTATGAGTTTTTATTCATTATACCAAGACCCTTTGGGAACTGAGCTCATGGTGCACTCTTATTATCCAGTTACAAAAAGCATTCTTCTTATTCAGGGCAATCAAATCCTTATATAAGTGTCTAAGAGAGAGAAAGGATACATGGACTCAGGATACTGTTTGTTCATCTTTTTGCCCTCTTTCCTGGGAAGCATCCTGTTATAGAAAGTTTCCGTCTTAAGACCCAGTTCCACAGAGACTGAGCTTCAGTCACACTATGAAGACTCAAGCCTATGGGCCATTTTCTCTCATATTCAGGAAATCCTGGTGACTCATATTGGAGTGAAGGGAGACATGAACCTTCCTCCTCTGGAAGGGAAATGCTTGCATTAAGGCCTGGAATGAAGGGCAAGATTACCAAGGCCTGCATCTTGGGGAAGTGTCTTTTCTTCTGGACTTCCCAAAGCAAGACCCTAGCCCCAAGCTCAGGGTGTCATCTCCATGGGACCAATGGAGGCTGTCTCCTGACCTTCATCCATCTCGGCCTCCTCCCCTAGCATTCTTTGGAGGACAACTACGAAGGACTCCCTCAGCCTCTTCTGCCTGAAACTCCCCACAAAGAAATAAATAAGGGGGTTAACACTACTATTCAGAGTACTCAAAAGGAGTGACAGTTCATAAAAGTTCAACATGTAAGGGAAGTTGAATTCCAAATATTGCATCAGCAATAAGATACCAAAGGGGAGGCCACAGAGGAAGAAGAGGAGGACTGTGAGCACAATGAGGATATAAAGCCGTGGAGGCTGGCGCTGCTGGAAGCTACATTGGACCCTGAGCAGCAAAGTCAGGCTGGACACACTCATCATGCCAATGAGGAGAAGAACCCACACTGAAGTAGTTACAACAAACCCATAGCAGGGACCATGGCCTAAATGCACACATGTGAGTCCCATCACTGCAAAGAGCAGAATGTAGAGAGCCCAGATCAGGGTGCACACAGTTGCAGACATGTGCCTTGGCCGGAGACATCTGTACCAGATGGGGAAGAGAACAGAAAGACAGCGCTCAGTGCTAATGGCCACTAGGAAACTCAGGCCCACATTGTAGAAGATGAGTGTGATGAAGGTAATTACCACACTCACGGAAATAAACAAGATTTGGGAGAAAAACCCTATGGCAAATAAAGTCCAGCAGGCAAGGTGGAGAAAGTCAGCCCCAGCCAGGTTAAGAATGTAAATAGAGAAGGGACTCTTCTTAATGCGAAAGCTGAGAATCCAGAGGACAATGCCATTGCCCACAAGCCCACCCAGGCTGATGACCAAGACAAGGTAGGGTAGCACCAGGGAAAATGTTCCTTCACTGGTTACATTCCCAGGACTCTGGGGTAATTCAGTCCTCATTACCTCAATTCTATTGTCATAGCCTTGGTCCCAGGGGGATTTTGTAGAGAACTGGGCCATGGAGGTAGATCTGTTCTCAGGAAACCTCTGCTGTGCTCTGCTGTTCCTGGATGTTCCTGTGGACACGATGACCTATAAATGCACTGGGTCCTTTTGGGTGGCAGAAATGTCTCTCTCTCTTAAGATTTAGGCTCAGAACATGCATCAGATACAAAGGATGCAGATGAAGAGGGCCCAGAGGCTTGGTCTATGAAAAAGGAAAAAAACCTTTTGATGGAAAGTTTGGGCAGTTTGTCTTCTGGGGTTCCCGTCTAGGCCACAATGGAGGTGGGTGTTTGTGCTTCTCCCAGGATAGTCTTTCTCATGTGATGGTGGAATTTATCACTGAGGTTTTCCCCTCACTTCTAAGACTACTCAGAGAGGGTTGTTCCCTATGGAGAATAGATCCATAGAGAATGTCTAAATTGGGTCCTGCTTCTCATGCATTCACTTACCCAAAGAGGCTATGTCTTAGCCCAGGTCACAAGGAAAACACCAGGAGTCTGGGAGTGAGCACTGAAAATCAGGGACTCTATGGTTCAGAGCTGCCAGCCCTATCCCCCACCCTTGACACAACCTGACTTTCTGAGGACATAGGAGAAGACCAAAGTAGAAGAGATGTGTTTCAAGTTACATTTGAAGGAGCTACAGGTTAGAAAGACTTCTTGGGACAGCCTGAGAAACTTCCTATTCCCTACCTTCATACCCCCCTAACCCATGAAAGCCATGGATGTCTGAAGCTGCCCCTGGGGGTGCTAGGGGTTCTATAGAGTAGAACATACACTAAAGGCTACTGAACCTAGTAAGAGCACTCATTCTAGCCTCCTTTGACATTGCTACCATCATCATACAGGCTGATCATTTCATACCTGGGTGATTGCAATAACATGCTGGTTGGTCACCCTCCCTCAAGTCTTTTCTTACTGCTGTCTGCAGCTGTCCATTCAGCTGTCAAATGCATCTTCCTAAAGTGTAGGTCTGATAATGTCACTCCAGCCGCATGCCTGTCTTCCATTCAATAAATACCAGCAGCTTCCTATTTATTCTAGGATCTGTAATTGTCTTTTGGGCTTTTAAGGCTTTTCAGAACCTGCTCCCTCTAGTGTTTCCAGTCTTCTTATGCCTTACTTTCCCCTAAATACTCTATTATCCAGTGACACTGGCCCTCTGGATATTCTTCAGACAGTTCTCTCCATCTGTTGCCTGTTCATTTTCATTGTCTGTACCTCTTGCTTAGAATTCCCTCCATCCTCATCTCCATTTTTTGGCTTCCTCCAAGTCTGAGTCAAGATTCCACCTTCTGCAGGAAGCCTTTCTTGATACACACACACACACACGCACACGCACATTGATCTAGCAACACTGGACTCCTTGCTGTTCAAAAATAAGACCCTCTGTTTTCCACTCTGGACACTTTTCCTGGCTGTCTTCTACACCTAGAATGCCTTCCCTCCCCATTTGTCTCCTGACTTCTGTGGCTTCCTTCAAGTCTCAGTTAAAATCCCACCTTCTATAGCAGCCTTTCCCTAGCATCATTAATGCTAGTGCCTCCCTTCCATTGGTTAGCTCCAGTTTAGTCTGTCTCTAGTTGTCCTAAATTGTTTGTAGATTATCTCTCTCATTAGACTGTGAGCTCTTTTATGGCAGGCATTGTCTTTTGCTTTTCTTTGTATCCCCAGAGCAAGCTCAGTATCTTTGCCCAGAGAAGGTGCTTAATAAATGTTTTTTGATTATTGGTTGACTAACATATTCTTAATCTACTAGTGTTCCTTAACTGTTTCTCCTTTCCAGTTCCTTTGTGTTCATTCATTCATTCTTCCTAGTAATAGTTTATTTCTGCAGGAGTCTGGGAGGGGGAGTCATGTTTTATTGCTACATTTCTTACTATGATATTCAATTAAATGTCTTTCTTTTAAATTAATTTTGTCTTCTGACTGACCACACAATCTATGGAGTTTTGCTCACCATAGTTTAGACTAGTTGCAAATCAACAAAGAGCTTGAACCTCAAGTAACATTTTAGGAAATCCGTAAGTGAAAAGGGTGAGGGGTCCTCTAGGAGTTACATTCTTAAACTCAACCTTAAGGCTAAGCTAGCCTACCATCTTTCCCTTCTCTGCATTCAAACACATCATCCTTTATGCCTAGAATGAATCCTCACCATATCTCTGCCTCTTAGAATCTTTATCTTCCTGCAAATCTCAGCCTCTGCTAGCCTGAGCTGAGATCTGGCAGCCTCTACACGTCAGCACAGAGCCTTTAAGGTTCTCCCCTCTGCTCAGTGGAACACCCTTTCTTTTAGACCAAGGACTGTTTAGTTTTTCTCTTTGTGTTATTTTGCATTGCTTTGTACATAACAGTTGCTTTATTTTTTTAATTGTTGAATTAAAGTGAAAAATTTCTGTCTCTGTCTTCTAAAGCAGAGACCAATGGTCCCTGAGAGATAATGTGATATAGTAGGGAAAAACCAATGATGTGAAGTCAGACAAGACCAATGTAAAAACCTACCTCTGACATTTACTAGGAATCTGACTGTGAGTAAATTACTTGCATTTTTTCCTGTCACTTTCCTGAATTAAATATTCTGAACTGAAATATACCTAGGACCTTCCTTTCCGGTTTGCCATATGAACAGAATGCACTGATGGCATTAAAATGCTTTTGTCCTTTGCTTATAGCGTCACTTAATAAATATATTTCCTGAGTTGTGACCTCAAAGTGCTAGGTAAAGGTCAGCAATTAGGACTAGAAGTTATGTTAATGGGCTCTCTCAGTTGTGGTCCCAGGGCTGAGTCACTGAGCATGGGCTCAGACTCAGCTGACCAGGAGACACAGAAATCTGAAATCAGGAGACAGATGTTGCAAGGAGCTGATAATGGCAGTCACTTCCTACTCCATTTGTGCTAAGAGGGAACTTCTGGCTTGTTGGAATCTGACGAGAAGATGGAAAAGAGGTGGATCATGGGTGAAGCAGACAGGCCAGGGATGAAATTCATATGCATATGCCTATGTGCCCTGGCAAAGCAGCTGACCTTTTCACCCTCCCACTTCTCCACCTCTCCTTCTACCAACCACAGGCTCAGCCACATCTCACTGTAAAACTAATGCTGGCCTCTCCTCAGAATTCTCCACCCTCGCATCCAAAACTGTTTGTATTTTATGCCATGTTGATGAGGATGAGACTGTCCTCCTGAGGTTGTTCTGCCAATGTCTATCTCTCAGATATGGCTCAGATTCCCATGTCTTCATAAGTGGAATTTACTTGATTCTGGACCTCTGACTTTATGGTACCTTATGTCTTTGTAGTAATCCCATCCTTCTCTCTGATTTCAAACAATAACCTATGCTTAGAATCAAGGAATTTAGAACTGGGAGGCTCCTTGGACATAAACCAGTCAAAACTCTTTAACTTTCTGAATGAGAAAACTGAGAAAAGAAGTGGCTTGTGCAGATGCTCCCTGCCCAGGTATGCTGAGATTCTGTTCTCTGTCTGATCTCATTTTCTTTGCTCCCTGTGACTTCAACATTTTGCATCTCTCCAAATCTTAGAACCTTACTGGGAGTGTCAAAGATTCCTAATGAAGCTTAACCCCATGTCATGGCAAGTTGGAGGCTAACTTGCCAGGCTAGTCTGCATAGGAGGACATTAGATATGATAGGAGGAATAGAGAGGGAAGGACTAAGGCTTATTTCAGCCCCCTTTTCTGTGCTTAATCCATTACTCATGTCTATACAACTTGATCCCAGGAGCTCAGAAGCACCTGTAACACAGGTAACCCTTCTCTCATACCCCCCAGTGTGTCAACTCTTCATTCCTTGAGATTCTTGAGGATCCAGATGTATTAGTTAGAACTTACAAGGCATATTCATGTGCATGTGTCTCTGAGGTTTGGGACCCTTCTTTCCTCAAAATCTGCTCATTCTGATGGTTTAGAGTGAACTAAAAAATGTCATTCACTTCCTTCAACCTCAACCGACTCTCCCAAGACCCTCTAAGCCTTTTATGCCTCTGTTTGCTCTCCTGAAACATTGGGATCTGACCTACCCATGTGACCTGAGGCATACATTTCTGCTGTGGCTCCTTCCTGAGTCCTTGGCCTTATGGCTCACCTGAATACCAAGCACTGATCTCAAGGTGTCTCAAACCCCTAGAATCTTCTTCCACTCTAGAGGAACTTGGGAATCTGACTTTAAAGTGCTGTTCTTGGACACCCCAAGTGGATTCAATGGATCTCAAGCACATGAAACATATATGCTGAGACAAGAAAACAGATGAGACATTAGCAAATATAAAAATGACTAGGACTTAAATGTAGGCAGGATTTTAAAAATATCTCAAATGTTATCATGCCACCTCCCTATTCCCATTAGCCAAATTTCTCTTGAGACAGAATTTAAAATCAGAGGGATTTTGGTTGGTGTTTCTACAAGACTGGAAGAAGACACTTCAACAATCCCTTCTTTCCCTTCTGATCCTCTCACAGAATATAGGAGTAGATCTACCTTTTATATGAAGGCTCTCCCTGGAGTGAATGACCTGAAGAAAATCCTCTGACCTCAGGCCCAGAGCTGCCTGCAGAAGCTTCTTGTCAGATTTGGGGCCAAATCGAATATTATCAGTTAGTGAGTACACACCCTGTCATTTCCTGAGCTGGTATTGCCGACCAGTCAGAGCCCAGGGTTCACTGGAAAGTGTCCCTTAAGGAAAATTATCTTTCTTTCACCTCATGACTCTGCTCATGGCCCTGCTTCTCTGATGCCTTGTGACCTTCTTATCCACATTTCTTCCTGCCAGCAAGCTGCAAGTTCTCAGTCTTCTGGTGTTTATTCTCATCATCTTCACCAAACCAGGCATAACTGAGGCACCAGAATTTATTATAAATGTCATTGGGGGAGGACTGAGGGTGAGCTTGGGTGGATCCAAAGCTTTCATGGGATGATTGGAATCCTCCTAATTTCTTTCTCATTTGACTGATTCCCTAGTGAATCTTCAGATATCTCCTGTGCCTGTCTTCATCTTGC